AAAACCATATGTTCCTCGATAAGGAGTTTGTGTTTTATCCTAATGCAAATGGGGAACATTAAGTGTTGAGTGACAAGATTAGTTACACATTTCATAAAGACCTTTTGAGAGTCAGTGCAGGAAATAAGGTCAGGGAACATGAAAGAAGAGTTTGCTAGTTTAAGGGAAGTTGGTAAGAGAGGAATGGACAGATCTGGAGGCAAGTTGGATGTATAGTTGATTGTGTGCAGGCTTTAATAAAGAATTAAGAAATTAAAGACCCAAAATGAGCCTTCTAGTTCTGGTTCATACAGTTACACTGAAATTCAGTTGTGGATATACATTGAACATATAAACCTGAGGTTCATAGATAGGAGTCCATGAGGAATTTGGGAATTTTTAGCATAGGAATTAATACCTTAGGAATTAATATATGAAACAAAAACCCAAACAGACTAGACAGGGAGACCAGCAGGGAAGCTGGCAAGTCAGTAAGAAATGGTGGGGAAGGATCTGCCTTAGGCAGAGGCATTGGGCATGGAAAACTAGATAGCAGATAGAATAGACTGGCCCTGTGACTCTTTAGACATAGAGGGAAAAAGAGTGGGAGTGAAACCAGATAACCAATGGGTCCAGATTGCTTGTCACTACTTGAGGCAATTAAGCAGAGACATGGTTGAATCATCTATGAGTTTTGATTCCAATAATGCTGGTAGTATGGGACAGCAGCAGGTCATCCATGGAAATCTGCTCTGTACTCCCAACCCCCTAAGCTAGCTGCCTGTATTGGGTAGGACAAAGATTATATGGAGAAGTAGGCAAAGGAATAAAAATGGGTACACAAAATGGGTACAGGTATGGGGAGTAGGCAATGAAGGCGGGGTTGGGACTCTGTTTTTTGGGCAGCAAAGTGCTAAGCTTTCCAGGATAATAGACAATTCTTGAATGAGAATGGACCACATTCCAAGGTTGATCCCCAGGTCCAAGGGGTGTACAACTCCCAGCCAGGTTAGAATGTGCTTCCTTTAATTAGAACAAAACAAGGTTAATAGCATGATTAATATTTCTTACTAGAGGCTCGGTGCATAAGATTCCTGCACTCAGGGGGCAGAGGGGTTCCTCAGCCCAACCTGTGCCCTCTCACAGTCCAGGAGCACACGGGGGATGTCCGTCTGCCGGCTTAGGACATCCTTAGCACTGCCTAAGCCGGCAGTCAGACATCCCTAAATTGGATGTCCTTAGCACTGTCACCAAGGCGGGAGAGGCTCCTGCCACCACCGCTGTGCTCACCAGCTGTGAGCCTGGCTTCTGGCTGAGAGGTGCTCCCCCTGTGGGAGCACACTGACCACCAGGAAGGCAGCTCCTGCTTTGAAAGTCTGCCCCCTGGTGGTCAGTGCGTGTCATTTGCATATTACCCTTTTATTATATAGTATAGCTATAGCTAGTCCCCAATATCCTATTTCTTTTCCTAATAGGAGGAATCCCAGAGGCTTCTGGTTTAGGCAACTCGCATTCATTTTGGATAGGGAATACTACACAAGAAGTTGCTCTAAGAAAGATGATGAACTCATCTGTAGACAGAATGAGTTCGAAGTTCCTGGGCTATATCCAAATAGAGGTAGGCATAACAATTAGCTATATGAGTCTGGAGTTCAGAAAAAAAGTATGGGTTAGAAATATAAACCTTGGTTTCAACATGTCAGCGGTAGTTGAAGCCAAAACTATGGCTGAGATCACTCAGTGAGAGACTACAGAGTGATAGAAAAGCATGTCAGAGACAAAGCTATAGGAAAATACTTTTCATATATAAGAATTAGGTGCCATTTTGACCACATGGATGAATCTGGAGGGCATTATCCTACGTGAAATAAGCCAGACAGAGACAGACAAAAAAATGTATGGTATAATTTTTCTGTGAAATCTTAAAAAAAAAAAAAAAAAAGCCAATTTCATGGAAACAAATAATAGAATGGTGGTTGCTTGAGGCTATGGGGAGGGAAAAGTGGGATGATGCAGATCAAAGTGTTAGGGGCAAAAATAGAATATTGGGGACTAGCTATGGTTATAGGAAATATAAATTATACTCTATTTTTTTAATATATATATATATTTATTGATTTGTTACAGAGAGGAAGGGAGAGAGATAGAGAGCTAGAAACGTCAATGAGAGAGAAACACAGACCAGCTGCCCCTTGCACACCCCCTACCGGGGATTTGTTACAGAGAGGAAGGGAGAGAGATAGAGAGCTAGAAACGTCAATGAGAGAGAAACACAGACCAGCTGCCCCTAGCACACCCCCTACCGGGGATGTGCCCGCAACCAACATACATGCCCCTGACCGGAATCGAACTTGGGACCTTTCAGTCCGCAGACGGACGCTCTACCACTGAGCCAAACCGGTTTCGGCTAAATTATACTCTATTAACCATGATTGCTGTGTGCTGGTGAAAGAAAGGACATTCTAATGTGGCTGGAGTTGTGTGCCCTTGGACCTGGGAGTCAACCTTGGACTTGGGAATCAACCTTGGAATGTGGTCCATTCTCATTCAAGAACTTCCTATTATCATAGCAAGATTAACAACCCTGCTGCCTAAACAATGGAGTCACACCCCAGCCAGCATTGCTTACTTCCCCATGCCTGAAATTCCTACTTCCCCATATAATCTCTGTCCTACCCTATGTGAACTGGCTTGTGGTGGGCTGCAGAGGAGATTTTGAGAATGGCCTGCTGCTCTCACATACTGCTGGCAGAATTGGAGTTAACACTCATTATATGATTCGACCCTGTCTCTGCTTAATTGGCAGCGAAGACCCATGGATTACCTGGTTACAAAAGGGTACACATTTTCAGATATAAAAATAACAAGTTCTGAGGGTCTGATGTGCAGTGTGGTGACTACAGTTAATAATATGGTAGTCTATAGTGTACTTGAAAGTTGCTCAGAATAGATCTTAAGCATTCTTCCCACACCAAAGGAAGGGTTAACTATGTGAGGTGTTGGATGTGTTAATAATCTTGATCTTGGTAATCACTCCACGACATTTATCAAATCATAACGTTGTACATTTTAAATATATGCAATCATATTTGTCAATTATTTCTCAATAAAGTTAAAAAATTAGGTAGAAGATGAGGTGCTTAAGAACACAAGTGAAGTGGGATGAACGGATAAAAGACAGGAAAACTAGAGGAAAATGACATGGTAGATGCCAACAGAAAAAGAATTTTCAAGATGGAGGGAAAAGTCAATAGTTGATGCATGTTGCAGTGAGTCAAGTAAGGTTAATATTGAGAAATGTTATTTGATTGGATTTAAGAAGTAGGAGTCCCTCTTCCTTTCTCATTTGTCTCTGCCTCGGGATCTTTGCACTTGCTCTTCTCCTTTCTTTAAAAAAAATTTTTTTTTTAATTCTTTCTTAAACTCCTTTTATTTGCATGTCTTACATCATAATTTTGGTCAGATTTCCGCCTCACGCATTACCTTTTAAAGAGGTTTATTCTGAGCACTTTATCTTATCTAGCATCCCTGTCCCACTCCAGCCCCTTATCCAGTTTAGTATAGCACTTAGCTCTACTTGACGTTAGAATATTTATTAGTTAATTGTTTGTTATCCCTACTAGAATGGGAAATATGTAAGTACAGGGATTTTTTTTGTTTGTTTGTTTGTGGCTGTATTCCCAGTGCCTGGTCTAGAGTAGGCCTTGAGAGAGAAGTGACTGACAGGTCATCTTGATAAGAGGAATTTCAGTGAGGTGTTTGAGACAGAAATCAGACTGACAAAGGCTAAGGCATAAATGGCAGATAAGGACGAGGAGCTATGGAGTGAAAACTTCTTTCTGAAAGAGAAAGAGAAACAGCGAGGGAAGAAGAGAAGCCTCAAGATATGAGCGGCTTGAGGAAAGGGGTAAGGAGGCACTGGGGTAAGGAGGCTTAGAGGCTGTTTGTCAGTTGTGTGTCTTTGAGCCAGTCACTTGACCTCTCTCAGTTAGGTTTCCTCCTCTGTGTACGCCATCATTAAGATGGATTTAATAATAGCACACACTTCATGGGGAGGATTAAGCAAGATAAGACACATAAAAGAGCCTGAAATATGGTTAATGCTAAATAGTACTTCCTTTCTCCTTACAACAATGCTGCAAGAAGGTATTGATTGATTCACTCAACAGCAATTTTTAGCATCCAGTTCCTATTGCAGCATCTGGAAATACAGGCTGTATAAAGCAAACAAGGTCACTTGGACACGGAGAAGAGTAGGCTCTTCTAGATTTGAATCTGCTCTTCACTAGCTGCATAATCATTGACAACTCACTTACTGTACCTCGGTTTCAATCCCAGTAAAACAGGGATGATAATAGCACCTTGAAGGGTCCGGGTGTTAAATTATAAAGGAGTTAGCAATGTGCCTGGCACATGGTAAGCACTCAGTAAATGCTAGCTAATGAAGTATTTTTTCCTGAAGCTTGCAGTCTAATGTGGAGAGAAGAGGGCAAGGATATTTGCCTGATTTTATAAGTAAAAAACCCTGAGGTCCAGAGAGGTTATAAGTAAACTGCCTAAGTCAAATAGATAGTAGGGATGAAGGTGAAACTTCAAAGCCTACACACTCTCTGGCTAGCCCTGCAGACTCTTTCATGGGAGTCTTCTCTAGGGCATTCCCTACTATGAATTCCATGGGTTTTGAAGAGTTTGCAGTGGAGGACTTAGAAAAATCCAAGAAAACCATTTATAAGCCCCCAAAGCCCTTCATATCTTGGGTCTGTCCACTGCAAAGTCTAGCCTCTGTCTCTTTGGGTAAGCTAGTACATCCCTCAAACCAGTGGTCAGCAAACTCATTAGTCAACAGAGCCAAATATTACCAGTACAATGATTGAAATTTGAGAGCCAATTTTTTTTAAACTTAAACTTCTTCTAATGCTACTTCTTCAAAATAGACTCTCCCAGGCTGTGGTATTCTTTGGAAGAGTCATACTCAAAAGGCCAAAGAACTACAGATGGCTCTAGAGCCGCAGTTTGCCGACCATGGCCTCAAATCATCAAACAAGTGACCTGGAAGGAACTCAGAATGAGTCTCAGGAAACATGCCATGCTTGGAGGTGGTGACTGCCATTGACTCACTATAATATCAATTGGCCTTTTGCTTGTTTGTTTGAAATTTTGAAACTGTGTCATGATCTAGGCCAATGGTTGACAAACTGCGGCTCGTGAGCCACTTGCGGCTCTTTGGCCCCTTGAGTTTTCTAAGCAAAGGCCAGCTTAGAAGTACCTTAATTAAGTTAATAACAATGTACTTACCTATATAGTTTAAGTTTTAAAAATTTGGCTCTCAAAAGAAATTTCAATCGTTGTACTGTTGACATTTGGCTCTATTGACTGATGAGTTTGCTGACCACTGATCTAGGCACTTTTGTATGTAATGAGATTATCAGGTCAAGCACAACGGTCCCTGACTCTTCACAGTGAAATCAGAAACTCTAGCACAATGTGTTATATCCTATGATAAGTGTGATATAAAAAACCAGCACTAGGAGTTCTGAGGAGGACGTTCTTAGTTAAGAGCTATAAGGGTGAGATTCCAGAGGAGGAGATGGGTAAACTGACTTTGAGGCATGAGTAGGCACCCTCTCGTTGGATAAAGGGTAGCATATTCTGGTCCTGAACAAAAATCCTGAAGTCTGGGAGGGAAGGAGATGGAAGGGGCTGGAACACACCATTTAGGGGAAAATTCTGTGGCCAGGCAAAAGGTGGTGTGCCATGAGAGAAGGGACTTCCTTTACTTGTCCTGATGTCTAAAATGGTGTCTGACACAGAGTTGGTACTCATTTGTTACTGGTTGGTTAATGCAAAGCTAAAATATTGTATCTATTCCCAGAGATTCTGACTCAGTGGATCTGGGGTAGGGACAGGGTGCTGGTGTGGTTTAAAAAACTCTCCAGGTGATTCTCATGTACTTCCAGGCTTGGTACCATTAGAGCCATCTGCGGTTCTTTGGCCCCTTGAGTGTGGCTCTTCCACAAAATACCACAGCCTGGGTGAGTCTATTTTGAAGAAGTGGCAAGAGAAGAAGTTTGAGTTTAAAAAATTTGGCTCTCAAAAGAAATTTCAATTGTTGTACTGGTGATATTTGGCTCTGTTGACTAATGAGTTTGCCAACCATTGCATTAGACTAATTGAATGGGCTCAACCAGTGGAGATGAGAAAATGTGTATTTATAGTTTTCTGTGGGTCAGAAAGCTAAATCTTTGAAAATACCTAAATGAAAGTACAGTGGGATCTTATTTATTTATTTATTTAATTTAAGTGACAACTTCCTTTTTTTTCTTCTTTATATTTTATTGATTTTATTTTTTTTAACAGAGAGGAAGGGAGAGGGATAGAGAGTCAGAAACATCGATGAGAGAGAAGCATTGATCAGCTGCCTCCTGCACACACCCCACTGGGGATGTGCCCACAACCAAGGTACATGCCCTTGGCCAGAATCGAACCTGGGACCCTTGAATCCACAGGCTGACGCTTTATCCACTGAGCCAAACCGGCTAGGGCAGAACACAGTGGGATTTTAAATAAGCCTGGCAGGTATGGTGAAATATTAATGGTAGCATCTAGGTGATATGTTTACAGGTGGGTAAATAACTTTAAAAAATTTAGATGTATTTTAAAAGATTTTTTAATTTTTTTTTTTTTTAATGTTGGAGAAAGAAATAGCTTGAGCCAGAGATAAAACAGGAATTGAGTCTCACTGAGAAATGGAGAGACATCATTTTAGTTCAGCCTTCTTTGAAGAGGCAGAGAGGAGCAGCAGAAGCCTTCCGGTGCAGAGGCAGCGAGTGCTGGGCTTGTGTGGCATTCTGCTTGGCTGCCGCAGAAGCCGGCTGCTCTGCGGAAAGAACCCAGGATGTCCATTCAACTGGGGTCAAGGACTGTCGTTAATTGGGTAATGCCTGTGCACCTTCGTTTCTTTACCTGCTTACATGAGAGTCATGTTAATAGCCGTTTTACATACAGAACTCACAGAGCAGCTGTGGAGATCAAATGGTGCAAATGGCATGGATCAAATGGTTTTCAAAGACGGACACAAAGACTTTCCAAGAGGTAGGACAGCAGAGAGCATTTTAGAGGAATCAGTTCTTGGATCTTGTTTTCCAAATGTAATTTTGCTAGAAAAGATTTCTCCGAGAAGACGCTGTGTGTTGAGGTGTTATGCCAGTTTTCTTTCTCAATTCCACTTTCAGAACAGCCATATCCCACTTGATAAAATAAAAAGATTTATTTGTCCCCATCCTATTATGTACCTTGCACAAAGACCCAAAGAGACCATTCAAAACACTGGGCGAGGCTAACGCTTTTCTGGTCCAGACAAGCATGCACCCAAAGCAGGGCTTGTGTTTTTTCCCTGGCTTGTCCACATGCTGTGAAGAATGAAAGGCAGCATCTGGAATGGTCTATTTTGCCCCCGTTGTGATGTTTTGAATCCAGTTACACAATTTTTATTTAACTACCTCAGCCTTTCCATTCCCTGACTGTTGTCAAAGAACCTATCACTTCTGACAGAGAGTCTTGTGACAGCAGAAACACACACACAAACAAAAACCCCTAAACAAAAGTGGGACATTGATTAAAAAAATATTCAACAGAATTATATTTTATATATTCTGTTTCACTCGGGAACAAATTCTCTGCAGGGTTCTCCTCACTCTCCTTTTCTCTCTCTCTCTCTCTTTGAATTCAGAAGTGAGATGGTTGTCATGGGGATGTGTCTTAACATGTTTATTTGAATAGAAAAATGTAGTCAGATCTTTTCTGACAGAAAAATATCTGATTTGGCCGGCTGGTTTGACAGTGAGGGCTGACTTTGGCAGTTAGGTGGTAGGTGAATATTTTCCATAAATCAAATGAGCTGAAAATACAGCACCAAGATTTTTGAATAAATTATATTTAAACTACATAATTTAAGTGAGAAAAATTCCTTGCCAAAATTGTTATTAACTAAGGTATTTTGCAATTAATAATGGTTTTCATTTGCTAATCCTTTCTAAACATATCTGGATAATCAAAAAGGCTGCATGTGGAAAAGTAACAAGTATGATTTAATAATCATTTGAAAATTCCTGAGAAAGCTTTTTTGATGAACCTCCCAGAAATCCAAAAAGGTGAATGACTGAGATCACAAATCCTTTTTCATGACTGGGTAACAAAGCCTTTTGCAAGTCAGGTGCTTGTAGTCATTTTTTGCAACAGAATTAAAGGAAGAATCAAGTTTCAGCTAGTAGTTGACTAAAAAATGCACATTAATGATAGGTCACTCCATGAGTTTTGGAATATAATTTGGAAGGTGTTCAAAAAATTGAATGATATTGCTATGACAAAACTCCTCTTCCCAACCTCTAATTTATGTGAACAAAGTTTCTCAACATATATTTATATCATAAAAGGATATATTCTGCTGTTCAGTCGATAATATGCAAATCAATTGAACAGCAGAACGAACAGTCGCTATGATGCACACTAACCACTAGGGGGCAGATTCTCAATGGACTGCCAGAGGGCACAGGCCAGGCTGAGTGACCCCACGCCTCTCAGTGCACAAATTCCATGCACCAGGCCTCTCGTCAATGATAAGAGAGAATCATTGATCAGCTTCCTCCTGCACATCTCCCAAGGCATGTGCCCAGACTAGGAACCAAACCTGTGGCCTCTCAGTGCATGGGACAATGCTCAGCCAGCTGAGCCACACCAGCTAGGCAGGGAGTATAATTTAAAAGGTGTACCTAGCCAGGACCGGTTTGGCTTAGTGGATAGAGCGTCGACCTGCGGACTGAAAGGTCCCGGGTTCGATTCCAGTCAAGGGCATGTACCGTGGTTGCGGGCACATCCCCAGTAGGGGGTGTGCAAGAGGTAGCTGATCAATGATTCCCTCTCATCGATGTTTCTAACTCTCTATCCCTCTCTCTTCCTCTCTGTGAAAAATCAATAAAAAATATATTTAAAAAAGATAAATAAAAGGTGTACCTTGTTGGAGAGTCCAGTATCAGGACTGTCTTCTGAGAGTGCTCATGTTGTTTGTATAATTTGTCTTTCACATACTTTCATATTTTTGAAAACAGACATCTTGTCCCACATAGAACTTCTCTTCTTTGTGCTGAATATTCTGAATTACTTACTCAGCCATTCCTTAAGTAATATGGTATTCTACTAGAACTAGCACAATTGTGTGTATTTTGCTGCATGAGTAAGAAAGAGCATAAAGTTCTCCTGTTCATCCTCAAAAGATTTATAAATAGATAACAGATAAAAATATGTTTTTCTTAATGAAATATAATAACTAGAGGCCCTGTCAACGAATTTGTGCACAGGAAGGATCCGAACCCGCCCGCCCTGATCAGGTGATCGTGGGCAGAGCTGGCCAGGGGGAGAGGCGTGGACTGTTGGCCGGTGGCCCTGCCCCCTGGTCAAACTCCTGGTCAAGGGGAAAATTTGCATATTAGCCTTTTATTATATAGGATAAGAGCTAATATGTATAATTATAAATATTATTATGCTATATACTAGACTTCATTTTGAACTACACTAATCCCTAGGAGTTCTTGAATGATCCATCAAGGATCCCCAAAGAGGATGATACAGAACTTTCTACATAGTAGATTCTACTTCTGTCCGTCAAATATTCTGATTTCCTTCATGAAATAGCCCTCTCCATTCTGTTATCTCAGTAGTAGCCATGTGACTTACTTTAGCAACTGAAAGTAGAAGCTTTAAGAGCCAGAGTTCCCCATGTCCCTTTCTACTTTGCCACCATGGTCAGCAAATGACTTGAATCCCAAAGAAAGGTGACTCCACCTATATAAAAAAAACTGAACCATGATGGACATGTAACATGAGCAAGATATATATTTTTATTGTTGTAAGCCACCAAGATTGAGGTCATTTGTTATCACAGAACAAGCTAGCTTGTCTTTTTTGTTGTTGTTGTTTTGTTTATTTTTATTAATTTTAGTGAGAAAGAGAGAGGGATAGAGAGAGAAACATC